ACAAGCCCAGGTCCAACCGGTGTCCAGCTGGCTCCCCAGCGGCCCCCACACCGAGTGGGTTATACATTCACCTTTAAATTACGATCAATCATTAATTAAAAGCCTCTCTTTATTTACAAATGGCACTGAAAACAGAGACAAGTAGTGTTTTTCACACGACACCTGGCCTCGCACCAAGAAAGCCAACATCACTGGTTTTCCAAAGATCGCACCCAGTCGGCGTTTTAAGGGTCATCTTTCCAAATAAACATTATGTTTAGGGACACTTACCCTGCTCCCTAAAGAAGTGCACGGCTATCTCGGCGAATGCCCACCACAGCGCGACCCCCAAACCCCGATTCACGATCGAGGGGTTTCCACGCTCTGCTCGTGGCCCTCACGCCCGCGTGGAGTCACGTGTGGGACCTCAGGGCCCGGGGGCGTGCGGGGAAGGGCTGTTGCTACATCGTGCGGAGGTGGAGCTGGCCCGCGAACCACGCGTGCTATCGAAATGCAGGTTTCCGTTTCTGGGTCACACATTCTAGAGCGAGCCCCTCCCAGGGCGTGGGGCAAGAGCGCGTGGGCAGGCGCGCGCCGCTGCGTGGGGGCGCGTGAACGCCATCTGGCGGAAGGCGGCGTGAGCCCCTGGAGAGAAGTCTGGAGGGGACGGCTCAGCGGAGGGCCCTGCCCCCCGGGATGCCTGTCCGCCTCTCCGTCCCCCGGAGCCCGGGCTGGGCCCACCCTGGCCAGGCGGAGCGTGTGCCTGTGCACGACCAGCCCTGGTGACAGGGCGGCTGCAGGTCTGTAGAGACGCCCTGCCAGGTGGCAGCTCCCCATGGGGGCGGGGGGGGGAACTCCCCCGGGAAAATGCACGACCCCTGCGGGGCTGCTGCTGGTGATCTCTGTGCCCGCTCCCCAAACCCATGGGACCTCCCAAGTGGTGAGTGTGTTCCGTGTGCTCCACAAGGGGTGCTGGTCACCAGCAAGACAGAGACAGGAGCAGAGGGCTGACTCCTACTTCCGACTCTGGGGAGGGGAGAGGCTGGAGGGTGCGTTCAATCACGCATGGCAGGTGATTTAATCAATCGTGCCCACATGATGGCACCCCCATATAAACCCCTCAGAGAGCTTCTGAGCTGGTCACATGAAGAGGTGCTAGGAGCTGGTGTGCCCAGGGTGGGGGGATGGAAGCCCCTCCTGTCCCCACACCCGGCCCTGCACACCACCTCCATCCGCCTAGCTGCTCCTGAGTGCGTCCTGTACCGTCGACGGGAAGGAGTAAGTCACTGGGCTTCTGGGAGCTGTTCTAGCAAATTATAGAACCCGGGGACGGGTGGAAACCTCCGACTTCACAGCCCGTCGGTCAGAAGTATGGGGGCCCCCAACTTGAGACTGGCCTCAGGCTGAGCCCTGAACCTGTGGGGTCTGTGCTACCTCAAGGGACCCCATGTCCAAATCGACATGAACACTGGGCTGGTGTCCAGGAGGTGGAGAACTGGGAGTTGGGGGGAAGACCCACTGTGTGTGCTGGAGGAGACTCACTGTGTGCGTCAGAGGAGAGAGACCCGCTGTGTCAGAGCAGACCCACTGTGTGTGCCGGAGGAGACCTACTGTGTGTGCCAGAGGAGAGAGACCCACTGTGTCAGAGGAGACCCACTGCGTGCCGGAAGAGACCCACTGTGTGTGTTGGAGGAGACCCACTGTGCCGGAGGAGACCCACTGTGTGTGTCAGAGGAGAGAGACCCACTGTGTCGGAGGAGACCCACTGCGTGCTGGAAGAGACCCACTGTGTGTGTCAGAGGAGACCCACTGTGTTGGAGGAGACACACTGTGTGTGCCGGAGGAGACCCACTGTGCCACGAGCAAACCCAGCTCAGACGGCGGCCGACGGAGCCAAGGCCCAGGGTGCAGCTCCCGCTCCCATCACAGCCCCGCGAGGCCACTGCAGCTGCTCGAAGCCCTGCGAAACGCCAGCCTCTGCACAGGACGTGGGGTGCGCGGCCCGCTGACCAGCCGGATGTTTGTGAAGGCTATCACTTTGGCACACAGGGGTCTTCGGGGGCGTCCAGGAGAAAATCCTAGTGCAGGGCACCCAGGGCTGGCCGGCTTCTCTTTCCTGGGGGCCCGCAAGGAGACTCAGAGCAAACTCGAGTCAGGGAGATGCTCGGGAAGGCAGACCAGAGCCCCTTCTCATCGAGGTGCCTGAAGGCGTGACTGCGCACCCGATCGCCTTGGTCCGGGCGGGCCTGTCCCTATCATTAGCTCAAATGCCATCCACATGTCCCTTGTTGGGCTGAGTTAGAGAGATGAGAAATAAAACCTGACGCCAGGGAGGGAACTGAGACAAGGGGGGTGATGTCCCTGGGGTCACGTGCCTGTGTTTCTTTTCCAACCCGGGTCGTGGCCCGGGGTCTCTGTCCGCGGTCTCCATCCCCAGCATTACGCAGAGTGGAGAGAACACAGGACGACGCTGACCTACAATTCGATATAAGTTTGGGAGCCATGGCGGGGAGCGGTGAGGACCGAAAGGATGGGAGAAGCACGGTCAGCGTCCTGCCCGGCGTGGCCGTTTCAGAATGAGCTCCTGGGACACCGGTTCTCGCACGGATACTAAGGACCCTCCCACTGGGGACACACGACAGAGAAACTCTGATTAGCCAGGCTCGATCCCCTTGCAAAAGGGCACCCCGAAAAGTGCCATGGTCAGCCAAGGCGCACATCCAGGAGTGGAACAGGCCATGTACGGGGGCATGTCCCACCCCCAACTTCTCAAAAGCCATGCAGATCCCAGCACGGGGCCCCCAGTGGAGCATGTGCACAGGACGCGGGCTGCTGGGCATCACTGACACTCAGCTCCACCGGACCCACTTCCCCACACCACGCAGAGGGCTGGGGGCCCCTGTCCACCCAACTGGTCAGCCAGCTTGTCCAACAGGACAGCACTAGCCACAGCATGACGAGGCAATGACAACGTCTCATGTCCTCATTGAGCCAAGAAAACAGCAAAGTCAAGAACTGTGAAGAAACTTATAAAACGTGTGCCTGTGGCGGATAAAAAGCCTCCAGGAGCACACTGTGGACAGGGGTCAGCGGCCCCAACCAGGGGAGCAGAACGGGGGGCTCAGTGCAGCGAACGAGACGGCAGACTTTAGAAACTAAAGTTTATACACTTCCAAACTGCTTCCAGCTTTTTAACGAGCACACACGACCCTACAACTGTATTAAAACGCAGTTTCATCATCCGCCGTCTGAGGTCGCTTCTCTGGCAGTCCGCATCAGGACCTTCCAAAGCAGTCCACTGCTAGTTCCAGGCCCCGTCCCCTCCTCTCTACCTCCAGGCCAGCCCTGAGCCCTCTGCCGTCCCTTTAATGGGACAGTGTCGGAAAACAGCAAACCGCCACCACGAAGGGACGCAGTGCCTATCTGCGTGTGAAACAGGGAGCTCGCGGCACCGGGAGGCGCTCCCCGTGCAGGGTGGGGTCGGGCCTGCAGGGGTCTGCACCTCGGCACCCCCCGGTCTGTGGAACTCAGGCGCCGGACCATCTGCTCGCCTGGCCCTTCGGCTCTGTGGGCTGCACGGTCTCAGCATCCTGCCCGTTGCCATCGGTTTCCTCCCATAACCCCACTGTCTTCCAGAGACTCCCCCAGCCCTGTTCCAGGGTCATGTGGCCGTATGACTCCAGGACTGGCACGGGCATGGGGAGAGCGAGCCCTCCTGGGCTGCCAGGGCAGAGGGAGCCGGGACGACACTCTGCTGACTGCTTCCGGAGCACCTGGTCAGGCCGGGGCGTGCACGCCGGCACCCCGGCAGCTCCACGCCCGCCCCGGACGGGCCCGTGCTTGTGCCTGGGGGGCAGGGACACGGCACACACACGAGTCCACTGCAGCTCCGTCACGCTTGAGAAAAAGAGAGAACGACCTGATTATCCGTCAACAGAGGAGGCAGCGGGCAGCGCCGGTGCACCCAGGACCCAGGCTACAGCTAACAGACAGAGACGCCCGGTCAGCCTGGGTGCCCCTCAAAGCCTCCACGTCCTGTGAAGGGAAAGCCTGTTGTAAAATTGCACGGACACAGTGATGCGTGTTTCTGTTAAACGCTCAGGTGACCCCCTCGCTGAGACAGGGAGGCGGCACGCGAGGGGCGGGGGCTCGGGGCTGGACACTCAGGTGTCCCTCCCTCGCCGTCTGCTAAATGGCCTGCGCTTAACTTACGAATAAAACGTATAGAGAATCAAGGGCAAACTTCATATTTACGAGAAAGTTTTTTTTTAGGACATTTTCCTGGATACTTTCCATTAAAAAAAATCATTAAAATTATTCATGGTATTTGACCAGTCTAATAAATAATTTCGGGCTGTGAATTGCTAGCAACTGTAAAATGAACTCTACATAGTATCTAAACGGCTCAAATCTACACATAATGTTACAGAAGATACATATACACACAGACACCTATCATCGCATACATTTTATTGCGATATAGTTCACATGCCACATATGCCACTCATTTAAACTATAGAATGAAGTGTTTTTAAAATATACGTCACAGAGTTGTACAAACCATTGCTGCCATCACGGTTAGAACATTTTCATCACCCCAAAAGAAACTCTGCACCCAGAGCAGTTCCGGTCCAAGCCCGCTTAAAAACCGCGCCCACCGGCCCTGGCAACCGCCTGTCTTTCTGTCTCCGTCATTTTGCCTGTTCTGAACATGTCACACATGTCACACAGGGTCACGCGCGTTTGGCTTTGTGTCAGGCTTCTCTCAGTTACCACGTCTTCAAGGCTCATCCGCGCTGTAGTACGTGTCAGAGCCCCAACCCTTTCCAAGGCTGGATACTACTCCATTACATAGAGGGACCGCAATGTATTTATCTGTTTACCAGGTGATGGGCGAGGTTTTTTTTTTAATGTACGGAGTTGCATTTTCAATACTTCTAAGACAGAATAAGCTCCCCCACCAGCTCTGCATTGGCTCCCCGCGGTAAAGAAAGGCCAGCCACAGGCGACAGCCCGCTCACCTTCTCTTGGGCCGACCTGGCCACACTTGAGACTTGCCGCACCGCCAGCTCCAGGGGCTGCTGCAGAGGGTCCTCCTCGAAGGCCAGGAGCAGCGGGCCCTGGAACGGAGACACACAGTGAGGGGACGCGTGCGTGCGGTGATGCCCGCTTCTGAAAGGAAATGGAGTATTTGCTCTAACGCCCCTAAACCTAAGGGCTCTTTTCAGTTAAGTCTGTGCTTCTACGTGGCAGTGAGGGTCATATGTCAGCAAGTTCACGCACCTGTGAACCGGCTGAGGCTGGCTTACTCTCGGGGGCGGGGCTCGGTGTGGGGAAGACACGGGAAACGGACGAAGGCGGGGACAACACCGAAGGTGCCGCAGTGAAGGGGGAGGGCTGGCCTGACCGCCCCGCTCTCCAGGGGCTGCTCGTGCCAGCCAGTCTGCGCACGGGTCCGGCGTCTGGCCGAGCACGGCGGCTCTAAAGGCTGCGTCGCCCCTGCTTCTGTTTTCAGAGGAGGACCGCTCCCTGCTCCCTGGCTGCCGGCACTGTCCTTGAGGAGCCCCCTTCTCTTCGCCCACTGCCCGAGGAGTGGATGGCGGGAACCTCAGGGGCTGGCTGCCTCTCCTTGGGCCTTGAGATTCCTTGGCTGGAAATGAGCCAGCCTGGTGGCTGTGCCCAGGGAGAGGGTTCCGGGTCCTGAAGGCCAGCTTCGCAGACCTCGGGAGCTGCCAGCTCCTCCCTCGGCGGCTCCTGGTTCAACCTGTCCTCAGCTCTGCGCGCCCTCCCCCACCCCACGGTAAACTCAGCCTACAGTCAGTTTAGGTTCCTGCAGTTAAAAATCTCCACGTGAGATGTGCAATTAAATTAATATGACCCCGAGGCAACAAGACTGAGGCTTTGGAAAAGGACAGATCAGGGCTTGGAGAGCCACGCAGGTCCTGTGCTTTTTAAAACAAATTCCCTTGAGAGGCCAAACCCTTACGCAAACTAGTCACTGGAATGAAACTTCCTAAAGCCTTCCTGCCCTGCTGTAGAGAGCGCACCACAGTCAAGCCTGTTCCGATCAGACAGTTCAAGAAAAACTCCCCTCCACCCACCCACAGCTCCCGCAGCTTCTCAGACGTGGAGGGCCGGGTCCAAGCGCCCACCTGACTGGGCGGGGTCTCCTGGCTGCGCGTGAGCCGGAGGAATTCCCGACACCCCCAAACACACCTAGGAGGCACGGACGTTTCCATTTGCATGCTTCTAACCTCACCCTGTTTGAGCAACGCCTATCTCACCCCCAAAAAAATCAGCAAGGGAGAATTAAATCAAGAGTGATGAAATGGCACTTTCTGGGCTGTTCCGCCGACATCCTCCACGGCCGGCACTTGTTCTGACGTGACCAGCTGCTGGCCGGGGGCACACCAAGAGCTTGGTGCTGTCCTGGGTCCGTGTACCGGGCCGACTGGCTGAGGGAACAGCCCCCAGGATGGAGCCCAGTGCCAGGCAGGGAACCGAGCGATCCCAGGAGTGGTCCCAGCTGCTGGACTGCACGGCGAAACAATGCGCCTTCTGTCCCCGCTTACAGAGCCACCACGGCCGTGAGCGGCCTGGATGTCGCCTCCAGCCCTGGGCATCGGTAGGTGCTGTCTGTGCCCTTTTACCTATAGCACCTTCTGGATTAAAACCTTGGAAAGATTCTGCTGAGAAAGTTAAGACCGAGGGTGGTCTCCGCAGAAAATGAAGTGTTAAAATAAAACAGGGGTTCTCTTTCCAGATGCCTGACCCCCAAGTTCCAGGAAGCCCAGCATGTGCACAACGCCCAACCATGAACCTCTGCATCTCCTGCACCGCCCAGGCCCACAGGGCCCCCATCCTGGACGCGACCCCACTCACACTGAAGCCAGACGCACAGCCACGCAGGAAAGCAACAGGCAGGAATCGCCAGGAAAATACTGGAAAAGGAAAGCCAGGCGGGGGACTGGCCCTGGCGGCCATCAGCACGCGCTACACACCCGCCACCGTCCAAACCGTGGAACTGGCACGTGGACACGCAAACGGATCAGCGGCCGGAGCAGGAAGCCCCGCACAGACCCGGGCACACGTGCAGACGGAGCCTGGGACAAAGGTGGCATCCCAGGTCGCAGGGTTAGAGGAATTTTTCAATCAGGATGCAGCAGGAACCCCTTATGCAACGCAAACACGCACACATGAACCGGACTGCATCGAGGGGAGGGCACGCACGGGGCTCAGCTGGGGCGCTCTGGGAAACGACAAGGATGCAGCAGGAACCCCTTATGCAACGCAAACACACATGAACCGAGCTGCATCGAGGGGAGGGCACGCACGGGGCTAAGCTGGGGCGCTCTGGGAAACGACGCCTGACTGCACACAAACGCTGTCATCTGGGCAGTAAGCGTCTTTCTCACAGGGTCCGGGTTAGCAATTCAGAAACCATACCTCTGCTAGAACCGAGCAAGTCAGTAAACACGGTCTAGACAGCAAGCATCCAACGCCTCCCTCTTGGGGAGGGAAGCTAAAAATACGGGGAGCGGAAGATGCAATGAACCGTGCTGCTGACCCGGGTCAGTATAAAGCCAGGCTTTAAAGACACGGACAGGTAGAAAGACGCAAAATACGGATGCGCGCACACGAGGGTGTTAGTGTGCACGCGTCCATTTCCTAGCTCTGCCCACTAGTAGGGTCTAGAAACGAGGAGACTCCAGCAGCAATGAGCTTACGGACGCGGTTTCTAAACACTTCTCTCACAGAAGGCACCGGGACTGCCGGAGAAGCGGCCGAATCCAGGGCCGGAAGACAGAGAAGTACGAGATGAGCCTAGAACAAACATCTTGTGGCGGCACCAATAGGAAGGAAGTGCTGTCTGTCTGCCTGTCATCTGTCTATCAATCATCTGCCTATCATCCAGCCAGCTGACATCGTCTTAATGGAAGACCACAGAAGGCTACTTCTGGAAGAGCTCCTCACGGTCAAAACAAGAACAATTTAAGCATCGAAACGAATAGCGACCGTACTGGATCATAACCCACAGAATAAAATGCTCGTGAGTCCACACCGATGTAACCAACTAAATATATAGACGGAAACAAAACAAAAAAATCAGGGTTTTTTGTTTTGTTTTGTTTTAAGTAATTGCCGTGGACTCGTCACACAGATGGGTGCCAAAATCAGCGAGCAAAAATGCGAGGAGTAACAGGATTTGTAGAGCTTCAAAGTCTCTCCCCAAGATATGTGTTAACTCCAGAGGGAATGACAGAAGAGGAGAAATATGACAGAAGAGAAACCGGCAGGAACCACCTTCACCGAGGGATCGAGGCCACCGTCCCCAGCCGTAAGTCACACCGACATGGCCCCTGCGACACAGCACACAGAAAGGGCGCGTCGCTTCTGTGGTTCGTATGACCTCACTCCAGTCAAGGTCACGATAAACAAGGAAAGACTGGGAAACTGTTCCAGACTTCGGGAGACTAAGGAAAAGCAGGAGCCCAATGTCGTTTGGGACCTGCCCGGTGCCCCGGAACAGGAACAGCAAACCGGTGGCAAACCGTGGACTTCAGACGCGGACTTCAAGTTTCTTAAAGACGCTGCCTGTGTCAACATCGTACGCTGTTACAATGTCGATTTCTTACACTGTTACAATGTTACTGTAAATTATAGTAACCTTGTGCCCATGTTAATTTCTTGGTTCGGATCCTTGTGCTATGGCTACAAGGATGAATATATGACAACTCAGAATTACTTTGGCAACTTTTCTATAAATCTAAGAGCAGTAAAAAATATATATGTGTATATATATTTTTTTATGAAAGAGATTTTACAAGACAGCAGCCCGCCCTTCCTTATTGATTATATTTGCTAAATGCTTCACATAGGTCTCGTCTCCTCTGGAGTGGGTTCTGTTTTCCAGACCGAACCCAAAGTCACTCTCTTCCATAGATGGCGCAGAGAGGTCAGGAGTTGCCAGGGGCCTCACCACCCCAGAGCTTTCAGCCTAAGCAATGAACACGCGGCTCTTCCAGGCTCCAGGAGTCCCCTCCCACCTCAGCAGCCCACGAGGGCCAAGGAGAGTGGAAGTTAGCTTTGGCTGCGTTTTAGTTAACACGACACCCACTCTTCCTTCCCCCGAATTCCTGTCTCACGGGGAGACTGGGCGAGAGCGCAGAACCACCTGAACTGGCGCCTGTTCCCGGGTTTCATAGCCACAATTTGCGAAGTCATCAGTAAACCTCCTTTAATGTTGATTCTTTAGAAGTGAAAAACAAAGCACATTAAACAGCTCGTTTTGTCCAGGCTTGGCCAGCTTCCCAAGCGGGGAAGGCTTGTGTCCAGATGGGGTGATGAAAATGTCACTGTTTCTCGCCATCAGCGACAAGTTTCTAACAGCCCCTGCCATTGGCCCCCACCCCGGTGCCGGGCAGTGGGTGGGTGGACTGTGCCTGGACAGACAGGGCTCTGGCCCGGCTCACAATATGGGGAGCTGATGAGGCACAAGTGACCACAAGGTGCCAGCGTGATGTGGGGACAAGTGCAGGCTGCCGGGTGGGGGTAGGGCCGCATCCTGGCTGAATGGGAGTGTCTGGGACCTTTGTGCTGAGACCTGAAAGGTTTACAGAACTTAACTAAGGAGAAAGGTTAAATACGCATTCAAGACAAAAGAAATGACCCACGGGAAGGTCCCGCTCGGGAAAACCCTGAACGTTTGGGTAACAGGGGGACTGGTAGGGGTCACGGTAGAGGGTGCGGGGAGGGGCCCGTGCAGAGTCCTTCTCCAAGGTCATCTTCACATCCTTACCCACTGACTTCTCATGCTGCGGCCACTGTCGCTTCTGGTCAAGGAGTTTGGGCTTTTGTGAGCAGCACCCAAAGCTCCCTCCACACCAGGAAAACTGAAGTCCTGTGGCTCTGCTCTTTAAGTCATGGCTCATCGGATACGAGTTCGAGCTATTAGAAACATCTTCTAAGTTCACGCAGGATGTTTTTTTCCTCTCAAAAGCCACAAATTGTTCCACAGTCTTGGTCTTTTGCATTTAGAACATCCCTCTGGGAAAAAATCCCGGGGCTAAGGACTAAAGAAACCAACCTCCTACGGACGGCCCACGCGAGACAAGTCCAGAATGTGGCCCGGATGCATCGCCCTGGGGACGGAAGTGCTGTCCAGACCACGGGCAGGGGTCGCGGGCCACAGGCGCCTGGCTTCCCGAGCCAGCGAACTCCTGTGGAACCGGGGACCTGAGGCCTCCCAGGTGGCTGTCGCGGGCTGAGGACCACCTCTGGGGCACCTGACTGTCACCACGACCATTCTGCAATCGTCGGTGTGGGGCAGGGGGACTAAAGGGAAACCTCGGCTGTCACCTTTGGGTAACAGGGTGTTAGTTCCCAGTCTAGTGACTGAGGCGGTTACTTCTAGAACCCTCTGTTCTCCATGAGCTGTGATCGGATCAACTGGAATCAGGTTTTTGTGGCATCAGAGTGGAGAGGGGCTGTTGGCTGAAGGGGATTCTGACTGATGGTCGGCTTAGGGGCAGTGTGTATCCAGTGGCTCCTCACTAGTGGGAAGCTGGCTTGAGGAACCTGTGAGGTACACAGTACGCTCCCGGCACCCCCACCTAGTCTGAACTGGACAGGGTCAGGTAAGCTCTCTCGGTGGTTCGCCTGTGCTCCCCAAACGCCTGGCCAGCTGGCAGGGCAGCAAAGACTTCCTCTTGTGTCTCTGCAACTCAGCATCCTAATTTAAAAATAGTTGGAGTGAGGGTCAGAATCGCGGGGCCCCTCAACATGGGGGCCTGCACTGTCACAGCCATGCGTCGTCCAGGGTCGGTCAAAGCAGACTCCACGAGTTATCGCTCCATCCCGGGTCCCTGGAGAAATGAGCCCCATCACTGCGACGACACGGTAAACGATCGAACCCATCTATGCTCTCTTGCTGGACCTCAGTTAAAGGGAACATGGGGCCTCAGAGTCGAATTGGCGCCCACAGGGGAATGTGACTGCAGTGCACACAGACCGTGAGGTCGTGGCCAAGGTATGGGTCGGCCCCAGCACGTCTCTCCAGCTCATGGGCCTCAGTCTCCTCCCCAGAGAAGCGAGGCACTCAGCTAGAAAGAAGACTTCGCGGTTCCTTTCCATCTTAAAATCCAAAGCTGAGTGAGATTTAGAGAGGGAGGGGCCCCCGTCTCCACTGGACAGAGACGTCCGCCTTTCGCGAAAGATGCTGGATATGATTAAGTTACTTCTGGTGCATCCCCACCCCCCGTGTGACAGGCTGAGGAGTGGTCTCCTCCCGTGCCAGGACAGGGCCGGGCAGGAGGGGGCCACTAAGCTGTGGCACTCTGGGCCGAGAGAGCGGGCATGGAGGGTCAACCCTAATCCCGGATTAATGGGATCAAATTGGAGGGAGGGCAGAGACACGGCAGGGCTGGCTGCCAGGATCAGGACGCCCACGGGTGACAGTGGCCTGCTCACCCGTGCTGTCGTGAGTGCTGCAGCAGGACCGCCCAGGACAGAGGAGCGTGTGACGCGTTGGTGGCAGGAGCCGAGTTCCCCAGATCCTATCTGCCTGCAAAACCTTCCACTTGAATTCAAATCCAGCCGTGCTTCTGGGCCCTGGGAGAGCAGCGCCTGACGCCACAGTCAGACCCAGTCCCTGTCCACGCCGAACCGGCAGGGAAGGCTCCACTGTTTTGAACTTGAACTTGAACCTGAACTTGAACCCATGCACTGTGGCCCTGCCCAGACAGGTGTCTGGAAACACCGAGGTCCGAGGCTGCGGGCATGATCAACGCAGACCTGGAGCCGACAGGGCATACAAGCCAGATCCTTCCTTCCAGTCTCCCAAAAATAGAGCCCTCCCTGCCCCCGCAGAGCCCGGCGACTCCGTGAAAGGTTTTCTTCCAAAACCAGTGGCTCCCTTCAGTGTTCTCAGTTCACCTGACCAGCCAGATGTCCCAGAGAGGCCTTCCCTCCTTTCTCCCTCGACGCTCCAGGAAGCGCCGTGTCTAAGGCAATCCCGTTCTCTATGCCAATCCAGACGTGCCAGGAAAGGAGGCGGGTGCGCGAAGCAGGGCCCCCCAGCTCGTGGGGGGCAGGGTCAGGCCTCTGCACCCGGGACTCGGCCAGGAGGCCCAGAGTTAAAACCCAGAAGGATTGTCCAGGTCGTCGATGCAGTCCTCCCTTGAATTTTAGGGAGAGTGAGGACAAGGCTCAAGCCCGCTCACGCCGCCAACCAAAGTGGACTCAGCCGCAGGACCTGGCCTGTGACCCCAGGTCAATCGGGGGTCAGTGCCAGCAGCGTGGCGGGGAAACGAATCTGGGTTTGCCCCGGGAGTGAGGTCGCATGGCTTCAGATGGGGCATTTCCCCTGAGCAGAAGACACCCAGCTCTGGGCAGCAGGGGCACAGATTCTAGGCACCAAGACGGACGACAGTCAACAGGCCTTGAAGCCTCTTTTCATCCGAAATGATGAGATTCTAGGCACCAAGACGGACGACAGTCAACAGCCTCTTTTCATCCGAAAGGACGGTTATTTTCTCAATCGTTGAGTACACGGTCTTTCAAGCTGTTAAATTTACGCTCACTTATATGCAAAGCTTTCTTGTTTTTTTAAACCCATGGCCATGTGAGTCAGGCCACGTCGCGAAGACCAGGCAGAGGGTCCTCTCTGGAACATTCCGAAATCGATGGGTCCAGGTATGCAGCCTTCACTGTCCAAAGCCAACGGCCAACGGCCTCTCCATCGAGCTGCACAAGCAGCCACAGGACCGGGAGAGCAAGGAGCATCAGCACGAGCCGGGAGGCACCGCCCCAAACCCACCGGCCCGAATTCCTCCTTCAGAATGTCCGGAAATAGTAGACACCAGAAGATGTCTTAAAAGCAAAAGTAAGTCACCGCGTCATTAACCGCGGAAGAAACAAAACCACAGGGCTGAGGGAGGGTGGGGGGTGGCAGCAGCTAGCTCAGCAGCCCCTGGACTCCGGGGCAGCAGGCAGCGGGGTTCCCATCCCCGCTCCACAGCCCACAGGCTGTGTGACGCTGGGCAGGTTACTTAACCTCTCAAGGCCTCAGGTCCTCACCTGGACATTGCTGACCAGGTCTCAGTCCTGGGAGTTGTGAGGATCCAGAGATGATGCATGCACCGACAGCCCCCAATACAAAGTCCGGCAAGGGGCTGGCCCGCAAAAAAAAAAAAAAAAGTCACTGCTTTTACACACCAGGGAACGCAAACCTTTTGGAAATGCATTCTTGGTGAAGTTCTGCTCTGTAGATGGAAGCCTATTTGGGTCACGGTTATTCATATGTCAGGTGCAAAAGCAGAAAGTGCCCAACTGGGAACAGAACGACCTGGGACTCCAGGAAGGGCACGTGTGAGCGAGAAGGGGGCTGCGCACCCCGCTCCCGCCACCCCCGCCCCGCGCCAAGTCTCTCCAACAGCCGCGACCCAGCACTCCCGACCTGTGGCGAATAAGGTCTAATCATTTTGTCTTGACTCCCCATCAAGGATCGTCAGCGTCCGGGGTCCTTTGCCTAACTTTCGAGAACACCCCGCTGCGGGGAGGGCTCACCTGGGATCGGTCAAGGGCTGCCCGGGCTTCCAGGGACAACTCTGGCTTGACGGCCGGCAGCTGGCCACCAGCCGCCCCGACCCCGCAGCTCCGCCGGCGCCCTTACGGAAACTCACCCCTTTCCGCCTGGCCTCGCGGTTCAGGGCGGCCAC